GGGCTGGTCACATTAGAATATATGTATTTATTTTTAGTTCTGGAGGCTGGGAAGGCCAAGATCAAGGTGCTGGCAGGCTGGCAGATTTAGTTCTGGGGAGGGCCTTCTTTCTTTTTTAGATTTTATTTTTAAGTAATCTCTACACCCACCATGGGACTCAAACTTACAACCCTGAAATCAAGAGTCACACGCTCTACCAAAAACTGAGCCAGCCAGGCGCCCCATTGTATTTATTTTTAAATTAAAAAAAAACACAACATTTATTTTTGAGACAGAGACAGAGACAGAGCATGAGTGGGGGAGGGGCAGAGGGAGGGAGACACAGAATCCCAACAAAGCAGGCTCCAGGCTCTGAGCTGTCATCACAGAGCCCGACGTGGGGCTCGAACCTACAAACCATGAGATCATGACCTGAGCCGAAGTTGGACGCTTCATCAGCTGAGCTACCCAGGCACCCCTATTTATTTTTAAAGATAAATTATATCATAAATGCATACTTTCACTTCAGTTCACAAACAAGACTATAGGATTTTTAAAAAATGTTTATTTATTTATTTTGGGAGAGAGATTGAGCAGTGGAGGGGCAGGGAGAGAGGGAGACAGAAATCCCAAGCAGGCTTCGCATTGTCAGTGCAGAGCCCAACATTGGGCTTAAATCCACAAACCGTGAAATTGTGACCCAAGCCGAAATCAGGAGTCCGATGCTTAACCAACTGAGCCCCCCAGGTGGTCCCCCAGGACTACAGGATTTTTATTGACCTCATCTTACTTCTGTATTTTCTTTCTTCCATCCCCAAATCCTAGTTCTCAATGACACCAACATAATTCATCGTGTGTTTCATCCCATGGGATAAACACAGCAGCTTCAAAATAACCATGCCCACACTGTAATCAAGAACGTATTTCACTAGGCACATGCGGTGAAATTAACATGTTTTAAGTCTCTTGGAATGGTGTCTCTGACAATTTTGCTGCCACTGGAATTTACAGTGGGTTGTTTTCATTTGATTTTTGATTTTTAGGGAATGCTTTTCCATTTTTCCTTTTGCATTTCATTCTGCTTCATAATTATGCAAACTATTTGGTGATTCCACAATTTGATATGGTTCTAAAATCAAATCTACCAAAAAGATATTCAAGGAGAGGCACCTGGGTGGCTCAGTCAGTTAAGCATCTGACTTTGGCTCAGTTCATGATTTCACGGTTTGTGAGTTCAAGCCCTGCATTGGGCTCTGTGCTGAAAGGGCAGAGCCCACATTGGATCCTCTGTCTCCCTCTCTCTCTGCCCTTCCTTTGCTCTCTCTCTCTCTCTCAAAAATAAATGTTAAAAAAAAAAA